CGATTGTATATGCTCATATAAATGCCAACGTTAATGGGGCACTAACCTTGTTTTAAGATAACTGCCTTTAATTCGCGATGTCTTGGATAAGTACTTCATTACCCACAATCCCGAACAATCCCATAGTAATGCATCTGATTGGTGGAAGACGTGTAACTGTCTGGTTAAACCCAGAGCTGTTAAATTTTTCAACGTCTGTGGTTAAACCCCGCGAAGGTCCTTGAAGACTCGTGATCCTGTAATGACGTAGGGCTAAGTTCATTAGTCGCACCTCAGAGACGCCCCCTCATCATTGGATGTTGCCTCGGGACAGCCTATGAGCGAGCCAGATGCTCAATGTTTTAGCTGTGCAGCTGCAAATGCGTTTTACATATAAGCTTTAGTAAATCGAGGAAAATGAGTTTAGTTTCCCTGCACATTCACAATATAAAATTCACTGGAGGAAAACGTTCACATGGCTGTCGACAGATTTGGGAGTCACTCAAAAGGCTCTTTCAAGGTGGCTTCAGTAAATTTCAGTGAGGCACGTTGGTTTATGGGATGAGTAGTTCCTTTGCTCGGAAATGAAAATATGTACACAGGCTTTTAGTTTTACCCTTGACTTTTTTTGGATTTTCTCTTCGTTTTTTCACTCGAAATGGTATGCTTATGAGTTCAGCTGTAGCTGGTTATCCTCAGACATGCTCTAATACTCTTTAGATATGGATTTTACAAAACGTCAATGGGAGAAATGAATGGGAAATTTACTTCCGGCACCAACGCTCTCTCGGGCTGTGGGCGGGACTGTGAGTGACGGTCTATGAAAACTAATGTTACCACTTTGACGATTCAAAAAGTTCATAACGAGCTCGTAAAACTATCCGAATCGAGTGGTTTAGTACAATTTTCCTTTAAGTTTAAAATCTATTTATTTATTCGCATATATCATCATCATATAAAGCGATCATGATTCATCAGAAAAACTTGTAGCTAATGTTACTAAACCACTGAATTCATATGGATTAGTTTTACGATCTCTTTATGCACTTTTTGAAGTGTCAAAGTGGTAGTTACAAGGGACAAAAACCCTCAGATTTCATGAAAATGTCTTCATTTGTGTTCCAATTTCCGAAAGTGATATAACAGCCATTTTCATTTTTGGTTGAACTAACGTTTTCACTTAAAGCACACTTTCACTCGGGCATAGTATCGTTCTTTATCGGCGGACACGGGCCTTCACACACAGTAAAAAATGACTGTTGGTTTAACTTAAAAAAAAGTAAGTAACCTGCCTCAAATTTGTAAGTTTATTCAAATAAAAAAATTGAGTTAATACAATGAAGGAGATTGGTTTAATCAATAGAAACTCAAAATATTATGTTGTCTGAACGACCTAAATTATCTAAGTTGTTTTGGCAAAAGAAAAAATCTTGTGATCATCATGATCATATTTTTTATTTTATTTTTACAGCGCAGGCTCATAACGAAGAGCGTCTCCATTAGCAGCCGTTGCCATAGTAACTTAACAACAACATGACGAGAAGAAACTCAATCCGTGACATTTACACATAAATTATTTAACCTGCTAAAACAGTATCTGAACTAGACCGCATCCACACCACTCTGGAAGGTGTGCTTAATTAATGCTGATAAGTTGATCACTATAAGTTTCTTAAGAGCCCTGGATGGACAGCGAGGCTCAATGATGATGATGATGAGCAAAATCATTCATTCTTACCTTTTCATTACAACCATAGATAAGCTGCCCACCTTCTCTGACATTAAACCACATCAATTTCCAGCGCCCGGTGTAGTGCGTTTTCTTAAATAACCATCCTTCTTTCCACACGTCGTATTCTTTTGGATGGGTTTCATCAGTTGTGCCGTTAGAGGTCGCCGCTTCTGAAGCCATTACTCTGAGACCTTCTTCTGCACGCATCGCGCATGCGCAAGACTTAATACAAGTCTTTTGTTTATGTAGTTAGAAGGAATATAGATGTATAAATAATGGCAACAAATAGGCTGCTTTAATTAAATAGTAAAACGATACAAAATTATGCTAAATGTCGTTTTAAAATGTAATGACAAATATACGTTTTTATTTGCCCTGTTCTCTCACAGTTATGCAAAATCTGGAAATATCAGGTATTTTTGTATTTTATGCAAATGTATAGACTGCAATATTTAATTAAGCAATGTTTAATCAAGTTACTACTGGTGGTGAGTTTGTTAAAATTCATATTCAGAAATTACGACTGGGAAGGTCATGTTTTATTTGTTTTTGCTTGCATGTGTCCAAAAAGTTAAGAAATGTAACATTTTAAAGATACATTTTGATCTAAGAAAATAGTTATTTGGGATAAACTAAAATAAAAGTCTTTTGTGTACGTCAGCGTCGTTAGTCCAGCTGTTGAGGAGGAAATGGCGGCCGCGGCGATGGCAGGAGCTGTGGCGGATCTTCCGCACGTCACGGAGGCCAAAAAGATAGAGTATTTCTCCTCCATCAACTCAATGGCCCGTAAGATTATGGAGGAGAGGGAGAAGATAAAGGACAAGTTCGGTTCGGATTGGGATCAGATGAGCCCGGTCGAACAGGACACGGCGATAGACAACGGAATGATGGACCCGCGGATCCGGGCTCGGTACGCCATGCACCGGGTGGACCGAGACGAGGTGATCTGCTACCCGAAACTCCTCATCCAGACCGGGCAGAAGATCGTACACTTTGGAGAAGAGGTGCTTCTATTGACATGTGTTTAGTTAGAGCGCTTATATTGTCGGTCCAGTGTTGACTTGCTTTATTTGATTTACTCTAGTCATTTAAGTCTTGTCAATCCCTAACAATTATTTACATTTTATTAAAAACAAACCTTCCAAACAGGCTGCCCGCTGTTAATTTATGTTTTTACTTGCTTAACTTGTATTATTCATGACAATAATTGATTTTCTTTATCTTTACAAAACAAGGCTGCTCACAAGACCCTTATCTGATCTACAAATCTATAAAAGTTAGGTCTAAATTGGATTAACTAGTAAAAATATATTTTAAACCAGCTATCATTACTAAACAATATATTCTTTGTCAATTTAAATCGAAATTGTTTTACTAAAATTTGTAAGTTTACTAGACAAAACCCTCTGGATTTTCAGGGTTAAGTTTATTAAACAAATCTTTCAATACCTTAAATTATTTAAAATCTCGGAAATTCCAGTGAATTAATTTGTGTACTTAGCTGATAGGTGTCAAATAGCTATACATTAGGCTTAATGTATAGATTTTTGACACACATCTGCCAAGTAAACGGATTAATTAACTGAAATTTGCGAGATTTTTAATAATTTAATTGTTAAACATAATAATTATTATTATTATATATCAATACACACACATGCAGGTATATTTAAGAAAAAATATTATTTATTTATAAAATATTTATATATAATAGAAAAATTATACATTAAACAATATACAGGATATACATGAAAATATTTCTTAAATATATACAAGCATGTGTGTATTTATATATATATATATATATATATATATAATTATACACAGTGCACCCACATGTAAACACAAACTTTTATTTTGGATGCGATTAATCGCGATTAATCATTTTACAGCCCTGGTTTCTATCAACGATTTATTAAACCAATCTATGCCACATTTATAAATGATGTATGGGGTTGAGTGATGCAGTTAAACTGGCTTCTAAACTAAATCTAAGACACATATGTTAGTGTCAACTAAATAAATGTCACATTTCTATAAATGTACACTACACATCTGTTTAAATTCTCTGTATTAAAATGTTTACCAAACAAGTCTGTACCAATTATATACATTAAAGTAAATTTACGTAGATTAAACTTTCTACTCCATTAACTATAACAAATCTGCCAATTATGTATTAGATTTTGGGTTAGATTTGCATCTTTTTTTAGTGTACTACATTTTTTATCTCTATTCAGAACAGAAGCAAAAATAACATTGCATCTCTGTCTCCTCTGTTTCAAGGATTTAACTTGGCAAGATGAGCACTCGGCTCCCTTCTCATGGGAGACCAAGGCAAGTAGGCCACCTCTGCTAAAAATACATTTTCAATTTGCTAGCAAAGTGCAAACAAATGTGATTCAGCCTTTCCCTTCCTAACAGAGTCAGATGGACTTCAGTGTGATCTCCAGCACAACAGAACCGGCCGGTCCCTCCTCCGTGAGCGAATCCAAACCCAAGACCTCTCAGAGTGGCAAACTGCCCAGCAACGACGAGTCCTCCTTCTGGAAGATCAGCGCTGAGCGCTCCAGGCTAGAAGGCGAGAAGGCCGAGTTTCAGTCTCTGACGCCCAGCCAGATCAAGTCTCTGGAGAAAGGGGAGAAGCCTTTACCCTCGTACCTGAGGCCCGAGTCTGGGCCGAGGGAGTCGGAGGAAGCGCCCGCCCCGCGGCCGGTTAAACAGAGAGCCCCCAAACCTCATGTTCCTCCTCCACCCGTTCCCATCAGCGTGACTCCTGTGGCGATCAGCGTGACCCCAACACCTCCGGCCCCCGTGTCCTCGTCGCAGGAAGGGTGGGAAAGGGCCCAGAGCACGCTTCCTTCTGTAAGCAGCACTACGGATGATGTGTTCAGTCCTGGTCTGGTCACCAGGTCTTCCTCTCAGTCCAACAGCACAGTCAAAGATCAAGCCTCGCCCGCAGCCAGTCCTACATTCGCACAGGTGAGACCCTCATCTCATATACAGTTGTCAACATCTGATCGAAAAAGATCATCAAAGTTGTCCTAAGACAAAACGGGTAGTGTTCAAAATGCACGTATAACTTTGATGAAAGGTTGACTTACTGTTGTTAGAGGGCTTCAGTCTGCGACTGAATGGTTGCATTTAAATTGTTAAAGCTGTATGAATTCATTTCATTACTATTTTTGACAATAGATTTGTGTTAAATTATAAAACAAAGAATCTAGAAACATTTAAAAAAAGATGAGATAGATTTTTAGGGTTTTCATTTTTTAATAAATAATTCAATTGTTCAAATTCTATGAATTCAATTGTTTAGTCATCCTATTTGATTATTAAAAATGAAATACAACCATTAAAAATGGAATCCAGAACAATTTTACTGGAAAACATGGAATTTGTGGAAAAATTGGACTCTATCTTTAAAAAATGAATGATGTTCTCCAAAAAAAAAAAAATCTTCAATTAGTTTGATAGAATCTATTATAATGATTTCTTATGAAAAGAAATGATTAACTCGCGATTAATCACAATTAATCACACATTTTTATCTATTATAAATGTCTTATTTTTTTCAAACTTTAATGCTCTTATCAACATGAAAAAGTGGATCGGCTTGCTTTGTGCAAATGTTTTTTATTGAAAACAACATTGACAATACTGTGTTTCGCGTTTGTCATCCATTCAAAACATAACGTTAACCTACTATTTGGCCGGCTCGCAGTAAAGGCCATTGCACACCGAGTCCGAAATTCGCATCCGAAATTTTCGCACGTTAAAAAAAAAATTCGACCTCACGTTATGTCAGTCACGCTTGCACACCGCCTCCGAAACTTTCGTCCGTCATAAAATTAATCGGATCGGGTTCGATTTTCTGCGTTTTTCGCATCCAGAGCCAGCATTTTGAAAGGTCTTTTGACACTTCAGGGCCGGGGGAGCTCGTCCTCAAATCAAATGCGCCGTGCTTTCAGTTTCGGTTTTCAATTCGATCAAGTGTTTATGTTCTTTTCTCTATATTGGATTATGAAATTAATAAACCTCCCCTTTCAATCAGATTGAAATTTAAGATCGAATAAGGTGTGATTGAGCAGCCTATTCGATAACTAATGTATTATTTGGGCACAATACACAATAACAGCTAGCTGTTCTGTCTGACCAGCGCTTCCAACGGGCCGCGCGCGGGTGTGTGTTTGTCCGTGTGTGTGTGTCCATACCTGGTCCATTTTAGACACACTGCCAGTCTCCGTTCAGAATCGATTGGTTCACGGAAATTGGTGGTCTTGTTTTTAATATGTGGCTCCAGAATCGCTAGCAAAGCATCGAACTGTCCCACTGACATTCTGAGGTAATAATTTTGAATCGCTCAGGATAAATTCGCAACTCCTTGATAAGGAACTCTCCTTCCTCTCGGCGCAATTTCAGGATTGGATGGACGTAATATTTTCTCTTTCTTCTCTTTTCAATAAGAGAGAGGGCAAAAATCATCCTCACTGCTTGACGAATCCATTTGGTATTTTTGCGTTTTTTCCCGCAAAGGTTTAAGAAATACGCAACGGACTCGGTGTGCAAGGTTTCTATGCGTGACGAATTTTTAAGCTGACGAACACGAAAATACGCATACGAATATTTCGTGCTCAGTGTGCAATTGGCCGGCTCGCAGTAAGTGTGTTTCCGGTCTAGCTGGATCCGGTGGTTTCAGACATGACGCGGAATGCGCGGCACTACACCAGTTTTCAAAACTTTTTGAATGCCGGTGGTAAACGTAGCAACTAATTTGGATTAATTGGTAATTGTCACTGCGGAAAGAGTTATTTTGAAATTTGAGCGCAGTGTGTGATTTAGCCATTGAAATTAATGGGTTTCATAGCGCAGCGGCACGTCCTGTTGCAAAAGCATGTAAAAAAAAAAAACTACAAAGTTTGCTAGGCCAAAAAGACCGTTATTCTCTCGATTAAAAAAATGAGTTGCGTTAACGCCGTTAATAACGTTTTTAACCGACAGCTCTAATATATACACATACACACACATATACAGTGGTGGTAAGTAACGAAGTAAAAATACTTCGTTACTCTACTTAAGTATTTTTTTTTGAGGATCTGTACTTTACTTGAGTATGTTTTATTTGCATCTACTTTCACTTTTACTCCACTACAATATTAAAGGCAAAATTTACTTTTTACTCCGATACATTTCCCCGTGCCTGCTCCGAGTATTTATTACACTTGGCTTTCCAAACCAATGAAAAACTTTTCTTAAAAAAATAAAAAAAAAACGCACGCGCTCGCGCTCTTTGCAGCACGCTCGCTCACATAGCAGTTCAGTTCGTCAGTTCAGTGGAAGATAATGACCGCAGCTCTCGACTCGCTGTCAGCAGAAATGATCCCGAGATTCCCGACAGAGATCACCCATGGCCATATCTCAAGGATATGTTTGAATTCATTGAAGTTTGGAGATTCGTATCGGCTGAAATGTCTGCTTTGCCTGTCACGGCCGTGTTACAGTGCATTCTATATGTACAACGCGACGTAGCCTACACATCACACGTGAATGAATAGGTACGGGACACTGCAATTCACCAAAGTTGATTATTTACATAAGCCTTGCCGGTTAAACATTTAATTCACGTGATGATGCGTTGTTCTAACGTGCGCTTTCCTGAGCGCATACCCTCGACGCTCGCAGGCACCAGAAGCCTGTCAAACAGCTGAATACTGGACTAAGTTCTCTTTCGAGTCTTGTTATGCTAATACTGTTAAATACACACAATGTTTACTTAAACAGAATTGGCTATGTCGAAAGCAAACATTTGAGAGAAAATATGGTGTAATATGCGTCTACAAATAAATAAATAATCATATTTTTTCATTTAATAACTTCAATGCTACTGATAATTACACCTACTGTATCTGAAAAAATAAAGCACTGTTTATTTAATTTGAATATTATTTTGTTTAATGTTTATCTTGTCTTATTTTTTTAATAACAAAGAAAACAATGACAAATATTTGTATCTTCGCCACTGGCCTAAATGTATGCCTTTCTTTTTTTTTCTTTTGTTACCTAAGTCTTTGTTTTTAACATAGGGACATTAGTTTGGCTGTAATGAACAGAAACTTGCAAAATAGTAAAACCAACTTGAAAAAGAATCGTGATAAAAAATCGTGATCGTGATTTTCCTAAAAAAAATCGTGATATATTTTTGCCATATCGCCCACCCCTGAAATGAAGTAGGCCTATAGCATTATTTACAAACCAGTTATTTAAGAGTTGTCAGTCATTCATAAGATCGTTCATAAGTAAATGTAGTAAATACAGGTAGTTATAAAGCATTTAGTAGTGGTCAGTTAACTATTTGTGTGAGCTCATCTAAAGTGAGTAGGCTATTTATGCCTTGTAAAGCATTTATTAAGGAGATTTAAAGGAGATCAATCTTCTAAACAGTAAAATGTAACAGTGATATAGAACATAGAAATATTTAACAGCCTTTAAATCTCCTGTTATTGTCTCTCATGATTGCAAATCTAACAAATTCTTAATTGCAGTATGTAATCTCATCATTTGTTCAATTAAATAATTGCATATCACCCCCAAAATAATTGATCTGCATAATTATTTATATTTACAGGTTATTGGAATATTTACTTTTACTTTCGGTACTTAAGTACTTTTTAAATCGGATACTTTAGTACTTTTACTCAAGTGATGTTTGAATGGAGGACTTTCTACTTTTACTGGAGTAATATTTTATTTAGGTATATATACTTTTACTCGAGTACAACTTTTGAGTACTTTTTACCACCCCTGCACATATATAAACAAACTTTTATGTTAGATGCAATTAATCGATTCAACAGCACTAATAAAAAGACCAAGTCATGTGATCAAAACAGGAAATGATATCACACGGACCCCTGCTGACCATGACTAGCTGTGTGATCCCAATTCAGAGTCTGTGGACATAGACTAAAAAAGTACGCTAAGGTTGAACCGAGCGTTGTTAAAATAAGTAAATATTTGAATCGCTTTAAAGTGGTTTATATATATTTTTTTTGTGTCGTTGGATATTCAAGTAATTTGAAACCAAATACTTGCAATTAAAAGGGTAATCCAGTATTTTCTCTTAAATGAAAATCCAGTCATCACCGGCATGCAATGGTTCTTGGGATTGACTGTTTGCGAAGGATCCACTTGTTCTATCCTTCGCAGCCCAAGGAAAAAAGGACGCATTTGTAGGCCGTATTTGCAGGAGCCTTCGAATTGCGACGACCTTCGCTTCGCTGTGACTCATTCGGCCTTCAAATACAGCTTTCGAAGGATGCGGCCTCTGAATTGGTACACAGCTTGTGTGTAAAGCTCAATAAGTCTCTTAGAATAACCTTTTTATGACAAGGTTAGTAGCCTAAGTTCAGGTTGTAAAATATGTGGTGTAAACCTAATGATATTTTTGAACTATGTAATATTTGTAAAACAATACTAAAATAGCACCTTGAAAAAAAAATGTATGTATTTATGGTTTGAGAAATGTGTTCAGTTTTACTTGGTTACACCATTTTCTGAGTAATTAAATTGAAACCTTTCTTGAAAATGGTGTTCAAAACCATATGAAACCAACATGAATACAAGAGTACATGTCTTTTGAAATATGTATGTGTATATATATTTATATTTTGACACGTGCAAATCATTGACCCTCGCATCGTTTTTCTATTTGTATTTCCGTCACTAACAAAAATTGTTTTATTTCCTTTTTTTTTTTTTTTTCAGTTCAACACCAGCAGCAATATCCTGAAGACTGGATTTGATTTCTTGGATAACTGGTAATTCCTGAAGAACCCATTCTAGATCACAGTCCCTAAACAAGCACCATAAACACTACAGGACACTTTCCTTTTAAATCCATATGCTTCAGTTATAGTGCATCAATATCTCTACAATTGTATTCAAATCTTCATCTGACCTCATCTCACCGGTTAGAAGTTACTGAATGCATGAGCTATGATACATCGGCTAGGATTTTAAATCTTCTATCCTTGATTCTTATGTCGTTTTTCACACTTGGTACATTTTCCTGAGTCCGAACCCAATTGAACTTCCCTGTTGGTTGGCTTTCTCATTGTTATGTTGTTCTGAACTGTGGTACGTTTGCACAAATGTTCCCCATTAACATTAGAACCACCAAAAGCTGTTAATAATTGCAGCCAGGAAACAAAGTTGGAAATCTTAAAGAGATAGTTCAACCAAAAATGATGAATTGATGTCGTTCCAAATCCGTTCAGAAAGCTCTCGGGAATTCATCGAAAAGATCTTAATTAGTTTTCAGGTTTGGAATGACATGAGGATGAGTAATTAATGACAGAATTTTTATTTTTGGGTGAACCTACCAAACTGGCACTATCAGTACAAGCCAATATTGCATTCACATCAACCATGAGCCATACTGTGGTTTACAATCCACCAAAACCACTCTTTAGACTCAAGTTTATTTCATTTATGCGTAGTTTCAGAAGATGCGTTAATCATGATCAGTCAAATTCAGATCTACTCTAAAACCACTAGTGTGAATGCCACATCACCGTCACTGCCATAAATTTGTATCTATATTTATCTAGACCTTGATACTAGTGTTAAGATGCTTCACACATGGACCTAAACGAGACACCGTAGCGCTAGCATGGTTTTGAGATGACTTGCGCCTTGCTTATTTTGTAGACTTTTTATATGCGTGCAGCTTTCATTGTATGATTTCTGTGTCTCTTTCCTGTAGCCCAGTACACCAGAGATGACTTAAAAACTTTAAAGCAATAGTTGAAATCTCCTTTCCTTTGTTAGGCCCGAAACATACTCCACACAAGTACGCAAACGTAGTCAACATTTAACATGCATTTTTGCAATACTTTGGAGGTACCAAACTCCAGTACTCAAGGGGGCGATAGTGTTACCTTCACCCACCATTAAAACTGAATGTGCTGTTATTCAGGTAGCTAGCTTAAAACATGTCGACAGTTGAATAACTTGCATTTGATCATTTAAACGCTTGTTTTTTTTTTTCCCGAACTTGTGAAATCAAGATGCTATAAGCGTTTGCGTTCACATACTTGCCTGTCGTATGATTCAGGGCTTAACTAACTAGGTTTTCAAGGGTAGGAATAATTTTTGGAGCTTTGTTGCGTGATGTTTTCTCTTGGATACGAAATACGTGGCCTGGAGCCAGTGTTTATGCATTCATATCTGTAATGCAAAATGACTACAATAAAAGAATGACTCTCTCATGTTGCTGGTCTCATTCTTCATGGTTGGTTGGTAGGGGGGAGTGCAGCGTTAATTAAAAACAACTGCAGCTCTACTCATAAATCCCATCACCGTTTTCTTGTGAATTATTTTAATAAAATATGACTGTTGGATGCGTGGTATAATTGGTCACATATGTGTAATTTGCAACTAATATACTCGTATTTAAAGAGTTTTATTCCCTGGACAGTGATTCTTATTTTAGGGGATTGACGTTATTGCTTCACATATTCTGAAAAAGGCCTTGTTAGTTTCTGACTGTAAAGTGGCCCTGTGGTTTTCCAAGAGGCCCATAAACATTCAAAGTTTTTTTTTTTTTTTTTTTGAACGGGTATTGTTTAGCTCATTCTAGTTTTGGTACTTGTTTATCTGAATAATCTTGACAGAGTTTTGACTTAGATGGATAAAATCAGATATCCATAGTTTCAAAGACTTCTTTCTAAGCTAGATATCAAAGCTGATCTGGATCTGTATAAATGTCTAGACAGTCATCTGGTAGAGATTTGTTTAGTTAGACTTGTGTAATGAACTGGTTCTTTTGGGCAAAACTCCATTCTTACATCCTAATTCCTTTCCAAAGTCTCCTCAAGAGGAAGAGAGAAAGAAAGTGTCTTGTTTAGAGGACGAGAATCCCAAATTCCTTCCATGTGTGGAGACAGAACTCAGCTGGTAATGAGACGTTCATCATTTTCCTGTCATTCGGCCATCGTTGACTTCAACAGAACAACATGTTTCCATAGGACAAAAGTACTGACGAAGGTGTTTGTTTAAAAAAAGTGTAGTCTTAAGCAAGAAAATGAATGTTTAGTTCAATGTTTATGTAAGGGAGAACAGAGCTGAGTCAGTAAAACTGCCTTGTTAGCACAAAGAATAGAAGTGGGAGGAATGTGTTTGGATAAAAAAGCTCAGGATAAAGCAGCTGAAAGAAGGAAAACAGAAAGGAAGAAAAAGGAAACTTTCAGACAAGGTGAAAGGAGGAGGAGAAGCGTCCGACAGCTGCAGAGAGGGAGGAGAGAAAAACAAAACAGAGCTGTAAAGAGGTGAACGAGAGAAGGTTGAAAGCAATGTGAACCGGAGAAGGTTGCTGTTGAATGAACATTAGGAGCGACATCTGGGTCTGTATATATACAAAAAGACAGAGAGCTGTCTGGAAAGAAGGAAGTGAAGCGATTTGAAGTGGAGATGATTCCAACCGTGATTCTGGCGGCTGTAGTGGGCTTCAGCGCTCTGTCCTCCTGCGACAGCACCACCGGATCGCCCGTCACAACAGCTGATCTCACTCAGGTTAAGACTTTACCTTTACTTTCTGGGAAATCATCCATGTTTAATGTTGGCTGCTTCTTGATTAATGATTTGTATTAAGTTTCACTGAGAAAATGTCTACCTTGATGCTTATACAATACTATTCCTTAGTGCCTTGGAGTGTTATGTAACTACCTTGGAATACATCAAAGTACCAAGCTACTGCAACACTGGTTACTGTGTTGCTTTAGAATGAGGAGGCAAATTCATTACCTGCGTCAGTAGTATTTACTTTTCATTTATAGAATTTAATATCATCAAAAACACGTATGTAATTTTTTACAGTGTGGGGGTAAATGTCATCAGTATTAATTTATGGTTCCTATCATCCTCGATCAGCAATGACATAATTCCAAGTACCTGCCTACGGCAATGTATTCAGGAGCAGGTTAACGGGTTAGTTCACCCAAAAATGAAAATTCAGTCAGTATTTACTCACCCTAATGTTGTTCCAACCCCGTAAGACTTCGTTCATCTTCGGAACACAAATTAAGATATTTTTGATGAAATCTGAGAGCTGGATCACTAGGCTTCTTGAGGAATTGAAACTTGCCGGCCCGGAAAAGTTATTAAAGACATCGTTAAAATAGTCTGAGTGACTACAGTGGCTCAATCTTAAGTTTATCAAGCGACGAGAATACTTTTTCTTCGCAAAAACAAACAAAAATAAAGACTTTATTTCAACTATTCACTTCCTTCTCTGTGGGCCTCTAGTCAGTTAATGTAGTGTGATTGCGTAGAGCTACGTCACACTTAGGCTCATTATTGGCCAACGCTGGTCATGTGTGTGATGCGTGTGACGCACAATAACAGAAGCTTACGCTGTTAAACTAGAGACCTGACTCGAGGCAGAGAGAAGTAAAAGAATAGTTGAAATAAAGTTGTTATTTTTGTTGTTTTTTGCGCACAAAAACTGTTCTTGTCGTTTGATAAACTTAAGATTGAGCCACTGTAGTCACTTGGACTATTTTAATGATGTCTTTAATAACTTTTCGGGGCCAGCAAGTTTCCTCAAAAATTCCTCAAGAAGCCTATGGACTAGTATGGAGGAGTGATCCAGCTCTCAGATTTCATCACAAATATCTTAATTTTCTGAAGATGAACGAAGGTCTTACGGGGTTGGAACAACATGAGGGTGAGTAAATACTGACAGAATTTTCATTTTGGGGTGAACTATCCCTTTAAAGGCTGGAATACACTACACAACTTTTAACATCTAAACAGATTATAAAACACCAGGCATTCTACACTTTCCGACTTTGTAAAGAGTTACAAAGGAAAAACTGAGGATCACACACTACCACAGTTTCAACTTGTTTCCCGAACATAAACTCACGCAGGAACATGTGCCTTGTTGCCAGGAGACGCATGACAAATAAAAACAATGTGTTTGAAAATCGGTTAAAAAATAACAAACATGCTTGCTATCCTCCGACTGCATGGAATCAGAAGCTGCTTTTCTATTAAGGAAATGTTCCAGTTATATTTCCATCTGAGCTTGGTTGGGTACGGGATGTTTACAAACCGTTCTTTGGCCTGCAATTCTAAGGACATTTGACCAACAATGTGGAACCATGCTAAAATAAAGCGTATAATGATGTCGCCCTTTGGATTGGCATGGAATGGAACAGTTAAAGGGTTAGCTCACCCAAAAATGAAAATTAAGTCTTTAATTACTCACCCCCATGATGTACTAACCCGTAAGACCTTCATTCAGCTTCGTAACACAAATGAAGATATTTTTGATTCAATTTGAGAGCTGGATCACTGCTACATAGGCTCCTAAGGGATCGAAACTTGACGGCCCAGAAAATCAATGAAGAAAATGTTTAAATATTCCATGTGACTACAGTGGCAAACTATAAGTTTATCAAGCGACACAAATGCTTTTTGTGCGAAAAACAAACAAACAAAAATAACGACTTTATTCGACTTGTAGGCCTGAGACGAGAGTTCAAGAGATTTCCACGACGCATGCGCGAGAACTGAACTGAAGTAGTTGAAGGAGATCGCAATTCTCGCGCATGCGTCGTGGAAATCTCTTGAACTCTCGTCTCAGGCCTACAAGTTGAATAAAGTCGTTATTTTTGTTTGTTTTTTCGCACAAAAAGTATTCTCATCGCATGATAAACTTATAGTTGGGCCACTGTAGTCACATGATGGAATATTTAAACATTTTCTTCATTGACTTTCTGGGCTGTCAAGTTTCAATCCCTTAGGAGCCTATGTAATGTAGCAGTGATCCACCTCTAAACATTTCATCAAAAATTTCTTCATTTGAGTTCCGAAGATGAACGAAGGTCTTACGGGGTTGGTACAGCATGGGGGTGAGTGATTAATGACCTAATTTTCATTTTTGGGTGAACTAACCCTTTAAGCAATGATTGACCACTGTTTGGCTGTGCCATTCACACATGCAATTTACAAATTGCCTTTGAGTGCCTAGCACAAATATTGGTAAAAGTTGTGTCTAGAATATTCTTCAAGTCTGGTTTTGATGGAGATTCTGTCATTTGAATTCAACAGGCGAGAGAGTTCAATGAGGAGTCAGTTAGAGGGCGAGGGGACACTCCTGACATCATCGAACCTGAACCCACCACTGCCGTCTCCGACATGGAGAGCACGTACAACTACATATGTGCGTTACCCAATCACTCATTTCAGTTACACATGCATCTAAGGTGCCAGAAAATCAAGCCAAAACTAATGCAACGGAGTAGACATTGCCTTGACATGTCTTGTAGATATATGTCTTGATATGTCTTGACTTGCACAAATAAAGGCTTGTTAGTGTGGTCGTATTTAATAGTCTGGGCATGTGAATTATATAATGATACACAAGCTTGTTATTTCATTGTAGTCATTTGATGAACTAAGTAAGATTCTATCTAAAAAAAATGCTATTGAAGGCCCTCCAAGAATCCAGAGATTCTTTATCATCAGCCACCTTCCCGTCAACCCCTTCCTCCTCCAAAAGTTTCTTAATATTCCTATTCATTCTCTGGTATGCAGCTACATAGCTGAGTAATGAAAGACTTGTTTCAAATGTGTCTATTTCTACATTTCTGCAGTGTCTAGACTGGCAGCGATGGATCAGGCCATCCACAGGCTTAATGTGGGACATTACACATTGGACATTAAAGTGACACAACTGCTGGAAAGAGTGTCACGTCTTGACACTAGACTAGGTGACAATGAGGATGCCATTAAACAGGTCTCGTCTTACTGCAAGGACAACCGCAAAGAGATTGGACGACTAGAGGGTCAGTTGGGTCAATTATAAATTCTGAACTGTATCATTTCATCTGACCCTATTCCTACCCTTTCAATCTAAAATATGGCTTTTCTATCTCTCACTCTAATCTCAAGTCAATCTTGTGTGCGTCTGTTTTTACGCATCTTGACGGTTGTACAGTCTGACATTACTGACAACTGAGATCTTACAGTCTGACATGGATTACATAGGGGATCATGTTCTTACAAATCTGACAGGACACAATCGTAAAGGATTATTATAAATCGCAGTGTGCCATTAAAAACGGGCTTTATGCTATAACACAGTTGCTTGGGCTAGAGCTAAACTTAGACATCCCTGCTCGAACCCAATCCTAAGGGGCCAGTCACACTGAATGCGTTTTCCATTCCACTGCGCTACTTTTCCATTATTTTGTATGTAAACGCGCTAGATGGACAATCTGAAATATTACTTTTCTATCTCTCACTCAGACGCATGATCTCAAGCCACTTCGCCTAACCCAGGGGTGTCCAATCCTGCTCCAGGAGGACCACTTTCTTGCGGAGTTAAGCCGGGGTCATACAATACGATTTTACCCGTCTGAGACCAATTTTTTCTCTGATCCTAGACTAAAATCTGGTCTTTGATCGTTAGTTTGACATGTCCACAGACAGCCGATTGACTGCTGCGATCAAATTTTTTCTCCAACGAAATTCTGGTGGTAGTGTCAGAAGATTTGACTCACAGTCCTGCAGGGTGACTCACGAGCAGCTCACTGTCACCGAATGCGTCATTGATTAATGGTGTAATACTCCAGACAATTTTTCTTGTGTGCGCCCGAGATCTGAGATCTTACAGTCTCAGATGGACGTGTTTGACCGTTGCGTTTGCGTCTTGTGTCTTTTGCAGCGTTTCGCGAATGACACTCGGTTAAAATAAGCGTCACAAGACCTTGCGGTTTTCCCCATTCCAATGCTTGCGTCTTGAGTTTTTCAAAGCAAAAGCGTATTCTGTGTGAACCATCCATAACCCTGCAGCCATCCCTAACTCCAGCCCTGAACTTCCCATCTTAAAACTCTGACTCCTAATTCAAACCTAGACCCTTATCTCCTATTATAATTTCTGTACTTTACCCACGATACTGTCATCCAACCCCAATTCCTAATTTCCTAACCTAAACACTAATTCCAACTCTATGCTGTCAAATCTTAACCCCTACCTAAACTGTAGTCCAGGGCTGTCTAATCCTGCTCCGCGTGGAGGGCCAACTTCACACCTGAACCTGCTAATCAAGGTCTTATTAAGTATTCTAGAAACCTTCGAGAAAGGTGTGTTGAGAGCTAAACTCTGCAGGACAGTGGCCCTCCAGAAACAAGTTTGGAGACCCCTGCTCAAGTCCCCCTTTCAACAACTTTTCCTAGACAAAATTCCTAATGCCAGCTCCAAACCCAGATCTGAATGTTATAGAGAAACCACACGTTGCCAATACTGGTTCTGATTGTATAAACAATATAACCATAAAATTGGGTATTTGATTGAGTAATAGTAATGTTCCAGGATTATGTACTACTTAAGCAAATCTTGATGGCATTAAAGTACTCCACTTGACAATCATAAACTGAACGTCTGTGTGCTGTACTTTATTTTAAAACATGAAAATGACTGATTTAATTCTTTTATGTTGCTCCAGGCTGTCAGAAAGGCCGTAAAATGGGTTACAAATGCGTTTTGGCATATCGTGTGTATGAGACCTACGCAGACGCATCCCAGAAGTGTCAGGAGCGGGGAGGACGCATGGCTATGCCACGAGATCGAAAGGAGCAGGAAGCTTTGGCTGAATATGTGAAATCAGTTTTCCACGGAAACTGGCCTGTGTGGCTTGGGATTAACGACCAGCGCTCCGAAGGCCTCTACCTATTTGAGGACACAACCCGTGTCACTTACTTCCAATGGAGGAAGCACTTCCTGTCAAGCCAGCCAGATGGTGGGAAACGAGAGAACTGTGTAGCCATGTCCTCAGATGATGGAGACTGGTGGGATACCTACTGTGACAGGCGCATGTATTATCTGTGCGAATTTGACGTTTGACCTTGATTTGACCTTGATACGGTCCACCTCTCTTCTAATTGATATTTTTTTAATATATCAAGAGCACATACCTAGCACCGAATTATGCAAATGTAGAATTAAGGCCAGTGAATTTAGAGATCCCATGGAATGTTTTGATAAATGCATTTCCAATTGAAACAGGATGTTGGAACAGGACATATTAGGGCTTGGCCTCTTATTCCCATTGAAGCTCAAAGTCATTCCTTTGGTTAAGACAACTTCTTGTAAATGCTTTATTTGTTGCCTCAATAGAAATGATAGAAAATAATTTTAACCGGTATATAGTCTTAATCATGGAAATGTTAATGCCTTTTATATTAAATGTCACATTATATCGCAGAATCAAACAATAGCCAAATTAAACATTTCCTTTTCTTTGTGTTTTCAGTTAGCCTGGCTAACGCCAGACCCAATTCTCGTTGAGACTTGGGTCTTGGAACTACATGTTCATTTTCTCGTAGGTTTACGAATGCCCGGCGCCGTTTATTGGGTGCTAAGAATGTCTATCAAATGCGCCTGTACGTAGCTCATAGCCAATCGTTTCAATTAGAAAAACACAAGTATTAAGTACAGTTTAACATAGATGTTGAAGTTGGTATTTGCATTGGAAATAGTTTGCGCTTGAACTTCACAAGTTTAAAAATGTTAAAAATTTAATTTAATGACTAAAGTGTCAACAACTTTAATTGGGTACGTGTGCACAGCTGAAAGTTATGCAACTAAAGCGGTAGCTGTATATTGATTTTGAAAAGCAACACAACTTAGGGGCACTTTGACAACCACAGTAGGTAGTCTACAGGCATAATGACAATACGATATTAATAAATACCATTTACCATTAATAAGTTAAACGGACTTCGTCGACGACGATGCCTAGCAGGTTGGAACTACAACTCAGTGGCTAACATGTCTTGCCATTTTGCGCTCATCCAGGCCTCAGGACTGCCGAACAGAAGTTGGTATCGACAATTCTTTATCGCATTTTCTTTCTCGGGACACAGCTGAGAGGCAGATGTTCCAAGGTTGACCGCCTCCTGTACCTGGTCCTCCATTATGGCGATTAATGGCGAGACAACAATAACGACTGGGGACTCGCGAAGTTTAACGCCAAAAGCTGCTCTTTTTTCGAAATAAACTTGCATTCTAAACTACTTAGAACAATATCTAGGGCTGCATCAAAATGTAGCTTCGTGTCTGCTGCCATGTTGAATCCATAGAAATAAACAAACTGCTTCGGTGTGTCGCATAGATGTCGTCATCGTCTTGCTGCTCCCTACCCGTTCTGTGATTGGTTCCCTAAATGAGGCGAAAATCTGGACCATGGTATCCATACTGCCTTTCAGTGTGAATAAAATCGCGCTGTGGGAAACCCAGGCTAGTTTTCAGTTATCCTTCGTTAAAAAGCTAAATACCTAGCCTACTAGTTCAACACAGCACTAAGAAAACCTCTTTTGATTAGCTTCAACAAGATACCCTGATTGTTTTGGAACAGGCTTTGAGCAAGTGGGATAGGATTCTCCAGAGGGATCTTGTTGATGCAAAGAAAAGAAATACTGAACATTTTAAAATGCGTAAATCTATTAAAAGTTTCCAAACTTTTAAAGACCCGGTGTGGTGAAAATGTGTCAATGTGGTGTTTTCAATACAAACCATGTGCAAATTCAAAAGTCATTACACATTATTGTCCCCATAAAACCGCGATTTGACACGCCCGTTTCCTGACATCACAAACATGTAGCCAATCCCATCAACGTGTGGGGCGGGGCTTTTCTACAGTGACTTTCTATGTTTAAAGAGTTCCTGAGGCAGCAGTCTGACTCTGAGATGGCAAACGGGAACATGGTTTGTGTAACATTAGCAACACATAATTAGCTGTTGGATAATGTAGTCAAGCAATAGCTAATCATATCAATTACTGTTATGTGTCCGGCGTTGTAGAGAGCAATACATAAAACACATTAAAATAACTTGTAGACAACCCTGTATGCTTTTCTTGTCCTCTCCTTCTGGATCAGTTTTTGTGGTTGAAATATGGCTGAATTAAACCAGTATTTCCACCTATCATTGTGCAGCGTTTACTACAGTAAAGTTGACTGAGTGGATCTCTGAGCTGGTGCGAGTGAGTGGAGGCGGAGCTCATTTGCATATTCATATTTCCACGTCATTTAAATGAAGCAAGGGTGTAGAGTTACATTCAAGCTACTTTAAGACAAATACATTTATTTCCACAGGGAAAAAAAACTTTAAATATATAATTTTATTTATTAATGAGTTTTAAGAGATAAAATTATTGACTGCAGGGACTTTAAAAGTACAATAGCCTATGGTTGGCTTTAAAGCTAAACGACTAAAATGCGACAAAACATAAGAATCCTTTGTCTGTGAGGTTTGAAAAACAAGGACAAATGAAAACAGTGGGAAAAAACTCTTTTAGGTCTTTAATGTCTGCATTATTCCAATGGTGGTCTACCTTTTACAGTCTATGGTTCTCACATTACATTAGTGCTGTTTTTGACTTCTGTTCAAAACCGTAACAGAAACGTGTTTTCTTTTTGTTGATCTAAAACATTCTTTAGAATTATGTCTTGTTGTTTCAACCCTGTCAAGTATTTGTTTTAAAAGCTTGAATCACTTGGCAAGAACAGAAACAGGTTTATAATGAAATAAGACTCTTGATCTATGCTGAAAGGTGGATAAAAGTCTAGTCTCATTCTGGCTGACAACAAGCTCTTTATTCAATGTTGGACTTCAATTATCAAAGAAATTCCACCAGTTATATATTTTATTTCTCTTTTTGTAAACATTTTACCCTTCACAGTAAATAGTAGTTATACAAGTTAATAAGATTATTTCATTTCATATGACTGTATAATTGTAAAACTTAAAAAAAAAAAAAAAAACTTTACAAACGTACTTTATTTAAAGGGATAGTTCACTTTGAAACTAATTTTTGGTATGTTTTATCTTACCTCAAGTGCATCCGAGATGTAGGTGTCTTTGTTTCCGCAATAGTTTCAATTTTGATATTTTTAGGTCAAACTGTTCTTGTCTGTCAGTCATATAATGGAGGTCTATGGTCACCACCTCAAAGAGCATGCACAGAGAAGTCCAAATTAAACATGATTTAATGACTCATAAATGTAAGTACACATTGATGGCCTAAGACACGAAACGAGCGGTTTGTGTGAGAAAACGAACAGTATTTATATCGTTTTTACCTCTTGTAATCAGAGTCACGTCCAAGTGATCGGAAGGCACGAGTGCTTCGGATCTAATCATATTTAAATATATCGAAATCGTCTTCCATTGCGATTTCCTGTATATCTAAATATGTTTAGATCTTCACTTGAAATCCCTGTGTAAACAATGAGTGACGTACACGCGCCTGTGCTCTCAGATCACTTGGACGTGGCTGTCTTACAACTACAAGAGGTACAAACAATATAATACTGTTCGTTTTCTCACACAAACCGCTCGTTTGGTGTCTTAGGCCATCAATGTGTACTTACATTTACGAGTCATTAAATCATGTTTAATTTGGACTTCTCTGTGCATGCTCGTTGAGGTGGTGACCATAGACCTGCATTATATTACTGACAGACAACAACGGTTTGACCTAAAAATTGAAAATACTGCGGAAACAAAGACACCTACATCTTGGATGCCCTTGAGGTAAGCTAAAACATATCAAAAATTAATTTCAAAGTGAACTATCCATTTAATGGGAAGATTGGCAGAACATATTTTTGTTAGTGGGAAGTTTCTTCACATTTCCTTCTATATATTATGGAGTTTTACTCTGAAATGATATTTGTCTCATTTTCCTTTTAGCGTGAGTCTCACAGTAAAACATCAGCTTTCCATTTTAACATTTTACAGATAAGTGAAATGATTTATGGCAGACTTTGCTTTGTAAAAGAACTGAGTATAGTTACGACTCCATGCCAAACCGAGGGTCTCTGGAATGGCTAATATTACAAACTTTATTCTTTCTAATTGGAAATCTAAATCTTTCTAAATGGAAGAATTAATTCTAAGTCTGGCATGAACATGAATGAGTATAACTTTTCAGGAAGTGGAACTTCTAATGAGGATGGCAAGGAAGCAAGTGAAGCAGTTCAACATACCAAAAAGACCAAACCTGAAAGCCCCTTTTTATCCAGGATGTAAGAATGCTAAGAATGAGCAGAGACGGCAGCCAGAATCTGTGTAGCCGATGGTCTGTCCACTGGGCTTTTACACCGGTAGGAAAATATCACTTTACCATCCTGGTCCAGCACAAAATCACCTCCCAAAATCATCTGTAAGTGAGAGATAGAGAGAGAGATTGAGTGTGTGTGTGTGTGTGTGTGTGTGTGAGGGAGGGAGAGAGAGAGAGAGCACTTAATGCATTTTCAAGAGTCCTAGACTACAGGGAGACAAATGTGTATTCTCTCATTGAGTATTATGCAATATTTGGAATTTGTTTTTATGGATTTGGCACGTTCCACAAAAAGTCTGAATCTCTTAAACACATTTTTCTTCTCTTTCAGCAAATATCCTGATAGTTAACATCAGGATATCAAACAAAATACCATATCAGCATTTTTATTTTCTGTATTTGTTTTATTTTCTAGCAAATTTTGGTGTTTAAATGCAGTTTAAGCTCTTATTTATGTGATTGTATTTTCTTGCAATAAACAAATTATTAAACAAATCTTAATGGGATAAATTGTATGTTTCACCAGAATTATTTACTTGTTGTTATGTCTTGGCCATGAATGCTGTAGAAAGTGTCCAAATTATTTTATTTCTTGTGTTTTAAGGAATGTTCCAGGGGGGAAAAAATTGGTAACGCTTCCTTTTACAGTCCAGTTACCCATGTAAATACTATGTACTTATTTCTACAATTACTGGGTAATAACTAGTAATAACCCTGAACCTACCCCTGTTCCATGTACTTACCTTATATTAGCCAGTACTTTCTAGGTAAGTACACTGTAAGTACTGTACTGTAAAAGGAAGCGTTACCAAAAAATCATTTAGCAAGTAACAAGTTGTAGAACATACTTAAATATAATGTTTTTGGTCATTAAAATTTGTTCAATAAAAACGGTTCAATAAACATACAACTAAATATCTATTCAACAGTTTATTTGTCATACTGTTCACATTTTTTGGACACAGACGAAAAGGTGAAATCCTTTGGACCAAAATGGTACATAAAATACATCCTTTTTGTGGAAAATTACATTATTATGACTCAGGTCTATTGTATAACTGGACCTCCCTGCAAAATACAGTATTGTTGCATGATTTGAGCTAAAGAAGTTTTTTGGATATTTGATTTGATATATGTCTGATCAATGTAACTAACCCTATATGCAGTCTTTATTGTCATTATGCCATAAAATGTTTTGAGTGTCACCTGAAATAGATAATCGATGAAATGAACTGAGGCGGCACATCGGGTGACTGTCGCTTCATCAGCAGAAATTCCGAGTAGTGGAGCATCATTTTAATCTGAACCCAGACCGAAAGCTTGATACATCTGTAACCAAATCATAACCACAAACTAACCAAGGTCAATTATTACAACATATTTCAGTCAGATCTGGGCAAAAAAACAAAACAAAAAAAAAAACACCTTTTTTCTACAAACATTTATACTGAAGAAAAAAGGCATAATAAATAAGGGAATACTTATTTAAAAGCAATTACAATATACAGTAGTGGCCAAAAGTGATGTCTAGTAAAATTACCACTTCACCCTTTATTCAAAAACTGTTGTAAACATGAATGAAATGAAACATGCCAAAATAAAACATGTCAAATTGTGCGGACACACAGGTGAAAATCGAAAAATTAGAATATTGTGCAAAAGTTATAATTTTGATGATTTTGGTTTACAGCTTATGAAAACCCCAAATTCAAAATCTTCACAATTGTCTTCACAAATGCTTTGCTGCATACCTCGGTTGTAACGAGTGGTTATTTCAGTCAACGTCGCTCTTCTATCAGCTTGAATCAGTCGGCCCATTGTCCTCTGACCTCTAGCATCAACAAGGCATTTTCGCCCACAGGACTGCCGCATACTGGATGTTTGTCCCTTTTCACACCATTCTTTGTAAACCCTAGAAATGGTTGTGCTTGAAAATCCCAGTAACTGAGCAGATTGTGAAATACTCAGACCGGTCCGTCTGGCACCAACAACCATGCCATGATCAAAATTGCTTAAATCACCTTTCTTTCCCATTCTGACATTCAGTTTGGAGTTCAGGAGATTGTCTTGACCAGGACCACACCCCTAAATGCATTGAAGCAACTGCCATGTGATTGGTTGATTAGATAATTGCATTAATGAGAAATTGAACAGGTGTTCCTAATAATCCTTTAGGTGAGTGTAGTTATACTAAATATAGTTTCACCTTTTAATTTGAATTACTGAAATACAAATGCACGATATTCGAATTTTTCGAGTTTCACCTGTATTTTTTTGGCCAGACTCTCATACAAAGAAATTATGTACACATGCAAAACCAAGAGAGAACCAACAAAAAATTAATAACTGAATATGTTTGTAATTGATGTATGCTTTTTCCTGAGACCTTTTTGTTTTTCTATGCAGTTTTTGCAGACTAAAATAAAACTTTTAACTGTAGTTTGCCCTTTTTTGTTAAATAATTTTCTCAAACACATACCTTGAGTTTTTTGTTCTTCCCTCATTTTTAAATTATTAAAAAAACTAAATATTTTTGTCATATTTTGACGGTTCAATCAAACTGAACGTACATCATTCTAAAAAAAATATATCACATCAATTTTGGCGAAATTAAGCAGAGAAAGGACTACTGGAATAATCCTCACCACTCATCCAACAGCACGTCAAATTCATAGCCTGCCTATCTGACCAAGCCAGAACGCTCCTTCAAGAGAACCACACGACACCACCAGCACCCGCAATGAGCTTCCAGAAGTTTCTATATGAGAAAGAACCAGAAACAGTGTTGATGATTCAACGAAAACGGAAATAGCGGCGCAGTATTTTGCTTTGCCAAGTCCACAGCTGGGTCAACAACCTT